AGAGAGAGAGAGAGAGAGAGAGAGAGAGAGAGAGAGAGAGAGAGAGCAAAAGCGAAAGCGAAAACGTGAAAGAGAGGGAGAATGCGTTTTGATATTTCGATTAAACGCTGTCAAGACTTTCAATCATGTTGCATTCGACTTCCATCGAATTGGCACCGACATGACAACGAGACGAAGGGGAACAGATATCTAGCTATTGCCAGGAATTGGAAGAACGGAGAGCTTTCGCGCCGTTGACTGTAACTACTTGTGGCAGTCCGCCCTGTTGCTGGGAGGGTGTTACTGTATCGATCAGAATAAAAGCGCGCGCGCATGGTATTTATTTCGAGGCGTTTCGAGACAAAAGGCTTATTTTCGAGGTCGATCGTACGATGGATAATACTAATACCACACGATTTTCTACTTGTTTGTTCTGCAATATTTCAACAAGAAAGCTGAATAAGCAATTGTGTTATGTCGTTACGAGTTCTTTGAAATAATAATAAACCAATTTTTTTGTACATGATATTAGATTGATTTGTATAATTACAGAAAATAGACGATTGATTTTAGGGTCCATAAGTATTTATAAATGTGTACTTTTTTTCCATAAATGTATTGACATAATAAGAGGATATATTTTTTTTACGAATACATGCTTTTATTTTGACATAATAAAGTGATAATTTTCTTACGATATATTGCTCTTTAAAGTAACTGATCTTTATATTTTAAGAATTTTTAAAACTTTTTTCCGCCTATTTTTATAAACCGAGAAAAATACGTATTTATATTAAACCGTCCGATTCATACTAAAGATCGAATGCTTTATGTCAAAGAAGAAAAATAATTAACAGCAATAAAAAATCTTTTTAAAGCTTTTCTTTTGTAGAAAATAAATATGATGTTTTAATTTGTAAAAGTTATACGCAATGATATATTGTAGTCTCCTTTTAATGTGAATTTTTTTATTATTCTCTCTCTCTCTGTCTCTCTTTTTGAAATTTTATTATTATATTTTATTTGATATAAAAAGTATAATATAATGATGATGTATTAAAACAATGATGTGAGATAAAAATATTTGGACGACTAGTAATTGCAAAATGTGTTTTTAAATAGAGATATGAAATACAGGAAAATATGCATTTGAAAAAAAAATTTTTAGAAAAGGGTGATGAGAATCACGGATTTCAATGTGCAATATAAATTATTGAACAAATCTATATGAAATATTTTAAATAATTATTTTATATATTTTAAGTTTATGTTCAAAAAGATATCTTAATAGATATTTGCAAATAATCAGAATCATCACATAACGCAATCAATTTATTTGCATCAATTTATTTGCACATTCCGCTCTCTATTTAACTTGGATGTTTGAATCCATTAATCACATCGAGAGACAAAACAAAATCGCTCGCCTGGGCTCGTTTTGATGATACTAGATTCGGCGATCGCACGCAAGCCCAATGGCATAGAGAGGACGGTTCTTCCGTCGTAGGTTCCTGCGTGTTCTTAAAATTACCTTCGCATCCTCCTGGTTTAAACACTATAACGTTAACGTTAATAAATCGTTAGTGGTAATAGTCAAGATTGGTCGGTCATAAAACTTCAAACATGATTTTTTGAACTTTCCTTACCGACAAGAAAGTGGAATTTGCTATATTGAGCGATATATTTCATCACACTCTAATGCCCGTATTCATAATCAGAACTTGTACTTAAGAGTTCCTTAAATTTATCTTCAGATAGCTCTACAAATTATTTCATTGGCTATTGTCTACAGATAAAATTAAGGAAATCTCCAGTACAAGGTCTGATTATGACTATCGTCCAATATACTATATTTTACTTTCTCATCAGCAAGGAAAGTTAAAAAAATCACGTTTGAAATTTTACGTCCGATAAATATTGATTACTACTGGAGCTCGAGCACGCTAGTGGCTTTCCTCCACTCTCACTGTCTCGCTCTCTATTTATCGTTTACCGCCGCGACGCACTGCGCCGTCTCATCACATTGAGAGTCAAATAAAATCGCAAGCGCGCCCGGGCTCTCTTGATACTGGATACGACAGCTGCACGCAAGCTCGATGGCATAGAGGGGACGATTCCTCCATCATAGGCTCACGCGACGCGTGTTCTTTCAATGACCTCTGCCTTCCCCTGGTTTAAATACTACAATCGTTAACGTTGATAAATTGTTATTGGTAATAGTCAAGATTTTTCGGACGTAAAACTTCCAATATGATTTTGTCAACTTTTCTTGCCGATAAGAAAGTGGAATTTGGTATTGGATAATAGATTTCATCTACTCTAATAAATGAATTTATTGGTTTCCATCACCAGAATAGAAACCCCCCTATATCGTGCGTATATCCTCCTTTGTTTATTGATTTATTTGTCCTATTTAGTTTATATATTACGCAGTAAAATTCGCGCTCGACTCTCATATTCAGTTCTTTTACTAAATACTGTTATTATTTAAGAATCCTATTAACGCTTATTGAAATACGATATATTTGCGTATATCCTCCTTTGTTTATTGATTTATTTGTCTTATTTAGTTTATATTACGAATTAAAATTCACGCTCGACTCTCATATTCAGTCCTTTTATTAAAATACTGTTGTTCATATAAGAATCATGTTAATACTTGTTGAAATATATATTGCCTAAAACGATATTTTCCCTCCATTTCCTACCAAATTCCTGTGACCTGTCTACATCGTAACGACGCACGTGGACGCCTTAACAAACCTCATAAAATCATCTCTCTGCGAAAATTCTACGAATGTCACGCATCATTATACGCGTAGAATTTGACACCGTTCACATGGGGCATTGTCAACAACAGACAATATCTATTACCATTCGATTGTCAGAGGTAATGATAGTACGAGTATGTACGTACGGTGATTTCACGATTTTTAGACGCGTCGTTGCCGGACAAGATGGATGTTAACTTGATAGCGCCGAAATATATACTGTATGGCGATACGGCCTCCTTGACGTGCGCTCACAAGGTCTCGAACGAATTACTTCACAAGATAGAATTTGTGAAGAACGAGCGGAGGATATTTGAGTACGTTAAGGAGAGGAAACCGCCGTACATCCCGGAGAAGCCCGTACTCGTCGACGGTGCTAAAATGGAGGTGAGCGAAATACAATAAATAGAACAACAAGGAGATCTTTAAAATGTATTCCCTGTTGATTATTTATTTTATTTCTTATTTTACTTTTTCGTTATTTTATTATTTTATGTTATTCGAATTATCGAGCTTACCTAACAATAGGTGCCGGCTTATGGAAAATATTGGGGAGGGGGGGTCCGAGAAAGGATGTCAAACGATTTTTTTCTCCCGATCTTTCTTTCCTGATACTTAACAAACATTACACTTACTTACATTTCGTCTGTTCGTTTTGCTTACACTTTTTACTTGTAAGCATGTTTGTTTTCTTTCTCTTCGACGATTGAATATATATTAATATCATTGTAAGTGTAAAAGTGTAAGTAAAGTGTAAGCAAGGCGAACAAATCTATAATTTCATTACAGTTTATGTCAAGGCGGCACGACACGTGCTACCGGCGGCGCGGAGCTTGTCCCACTCACGCGCTTATTGTTTCCTTTACCGCTCCGCCCGCGCCGACACCATAAGGGCTGTCCCCGCCGTCGCGTTCGACGCTCTTCAACAAAATATTAAACTTTATTAATATTATAACTATAAACAATATATAAATAATATGTTACAAGTTTATTTTAAAATAGAAATAAAATAATCTTAACACAAAAAAATACACATTACAAAAAAAAGATCAATTGAGAGAATTTAGAAAAAACTTTTGGGAAATATTCCGTCAGGCTTACTTTCCAATTAAAGTCACAATGGAAATGATAACTTAACATAGCCTGTGCGACAACAGCGAAAGCTGAGGGGTGCCGACAACCGCTGAACGCGATTGTTGAAGAACGTCGAACGCAACGGCGGGGAATAAAATTACGGGCATAGTGGTGAGGGAAACAATAAGCGTGAGTGAGGGAAGCTCCGCGCCTCCGATGACACGCGTTGTGCCGCCCTGGATTGTGTTCCGAAATTCGACTCTGTCAACTCCGAGTATGTCTTATCTTTGTTCAACATTCGGCGAACAACAAGGATGAAAGATATTCAGAGTTGATAGAGTCGAATTTTAGAACGCACCCCCGGGATGCGTTCAGAGTCGTCGTCCGGATGTTATTTTATTCTTGTTATTCACGAATGATAAACGAGGATGACACTCTTATGATGATTCTAAACGCAGCCCTGGTGTATGTGTATATTACCGAATACGACGAGTGCAGTGCACCAAACAGGGGCCATCGATCGAACACGTTGCACTGAGAAAATTTCCACTCTGGGAAAAGTGTACACTAGTGCAGGCGATCGAATTCGTTATAAGTACATACATCAAAGCGAAGTCAATGTATATATCAAGGTAAAGCGATATTCAAAATATTTATGAGCTGTCAAGAATCAAATAAATCAGTTAAAGGGTTACAGTTAGTCGGTGAAATCAACCATGCATTGTCTCATTCTCTTATTGATTTTGTTAGATACCATAGACGTCGATTACGGGGCAGCATAGCAGTTTTGCTCATCCCCTTCGCCAATTTTGCCCATCCCCAAAAAAAAATATTTTTTTTAACAATTGCGAATTGCAAATAACTTCTGTGATCAACACTGTATGTTCAAGATAACGCCATGTGATACGTTATACATAACAATGGCGCGGCGAATTAAAACGTGGCAGCTTTGAAGTCGCTGACGGGGGGGAGGATCCTGGACGGACAAACACCATTCATGTCGCCTAATAGTTAGATGTAGATGCTGTTGTAAATGAATTTATAAATCGGCACGCTAACTTCGCGAATAGGAAAACCATGCACATACCACAACATGACATGCAGGTTCGATAACACGTCTACATAAATTTATGTCAAATTTACACAGGCCGAGACTGATGGTATCGACCTTTGCATCTCAATCTATATCTGCAGTTATATATATCCACGTCTATATATTGTCATCTTTAAATATCGAATGTTAATCGAATTTCTATTTTCGTAACGGAAGTCAAATATGTCTAGACAGGAAGTGTGTTATAAAATAAATTAGAATAACCGCTTTTATTGAAATTCTATCAATCTCATGTTTTGCATTGCAAAATGATTTTAATTCAAGATATTATATGATATCTAATTAGGATTGGCAACATTACCTCATAAAAATAACTCGTTATCGTTACAGTTCTTTTTCCTAAAAAATAACTTGTTTCCGTTACTCGTTATTGATTTGCAAAAGTAACTTGTTACCTTTACCGTTACTCAAAATATAATGAATTATTACTTTTTCGTTACTTTTTTTCTTGACTAATTAATAGAATATTATGTACAGATTTTTTTTAAATATAAAAAAGATATTAAAATTCCATTTTTTAGTAAAGAAATAGAGCTAAAGAAATATATACAGGATGTTTCCAAAATACCGCGCAGTATTCATATAGCGTTATTCCTGATAAAAAATTAAGTCGATTACTATTAGGAAATTTTTTTCCACCATGCTTACTGAAGCAGTTATTATCGAGTAAAAATGATCCAATTGACGCCGCGTTTTAAACGGACGCACGTCCGTGAGCCGCGCGTCTAGTAGTGTGCGTGAGCGCTCCGCCACACCGGTACATCGCGGACTTCGCCGCTATCGCGCAATGTTCTCACATGTCATAGCAAAATTACGTAAAATGACGATCAATGAATTGATATTATGAGAATAAACTAAAAATTGTAGGTTATGATAAAATCATGATTTCATATTATTTTATTGCGTAAAAAATGCAATACTTTATTAAAAGCACTTATAAATTAGATTTAAACAATAAACTGGAATTGAAAATATACGCGTTCTTAAACTGAGTGTTGGTAACAGAATTTGAACTTTGACAAATATTAATAAATAACACAAATAATTTTATTATTTATTATTTATTATTATTTATTATTAATTGTTAATTATTAATTCTTTGAATGTCACATAATTGTGCAACTGTTATCGCTGCAAAGATATGGCCACAAAATATTGATATCGAAATATTATTTAAACTAACTGAAGTGCACTATAAACTGTTTGAAATAATAATTTTTCTCGTAGTGCATAGTGGCCGGAAACTTTTGCACATGCAAATATGACAATTATAATAATAAAAATGTTCATAAATGTAAACAATATCTTTCACTACATTATTTCGTTACCAGCGCTATCTTGTACCAACACTTAATAATGATTAAAATTTTATCAGGCTTTTTTTTTATAAATTAGAGTACAAAATGTCACTGGCCGGAAACTTTTGCACGCTAGTGTATATAATTAAAAAAATATAACTAAAAATGTGTATATACATATACAATGTAGGTATATACACTTTCTTTATTTCTTTTAGAAATAGTGTATATACCATATGTATATATGTATACTATTTCTGAAGAATTTTTTTGATAAATGTAAAAAAAAGATATTAAAATTATATTTTTTAGTGTATAACACCTAACATATATAAAAAATATAATTTTAATATATTTTTTTACACTTATCAAAATCTGCACATAATATTCTATTTGTGTCAAGAAAAAAAATAACGAAGAAATAACGATTGATTGTTATGTTTTGAGTAACTATAACAGTAACGAGTTACTTTTGTAAATCAATAATGAGTAACGGCAACAAGTTATTTTTTAGAAAAAAGAACGGTAACGGTAACGAATTATTTTTATGAGGTAACGTTACCAATCCTGGTCTTTATCAAGATTTTACTTTATAAAATTCAAAATCTCGAAAATATATAATAATACTTTCTCTAATAAACAAAGTTTATTCATCAAATTCGGTTTTTTTTAAATTCTCAAGTATTACTTTATGTACGCATTTCTTCGCAACAAATATATATTTTTTATTATAAACTTTTCACTTCACTTTCCGTTACATCACGCAACCGTTTATGTATAATAAAATAATGTCTCTTTTTTTTAACCTATCGTCTGATATTATTACATAGATAGGTAAAAATACAACTTAGTCTGCTCATACCTATCCCGCAATACGGTCTCTAAGAAAAAACCGTAGTAAACAAAAATCCAAAAATAACGAGAACGCCCTCGATAGTATAAGCTGAATATCCGGAGTCCGCTCCTGTCTTTTGCCAATGATTAAGCGAGCAAAACTAAACGCATTTACCTAAGGCACAGTCTTTTATGTATCGACACAAAGCAAAGCTATTTACGTATACATACATGCACTCTGCACGTAAAATACTCCCCCTGCTATTCCCCGACAACATCGAGTAGTAACGCGTGGCAGCGCAATTTCCCTGGAGAATGTTTTCGATGGGAGCGCACAGCATATGGGTGATCTATTAAAAAAGAGATAAGGTGGAAAATCAATACTTGTTTTTCATATGTGATACCTTAACATTACAAGGATGAGCACTTGTACTAGTGTGTATGTAGAGTCAACACATTAATAATGGGACTACACGTGGCAGAAATAGAACGTCAATTTGGCGAGGGTTTCAGGCCGCTGATGACGAACGATTGTTAAGTGTCGAAAACACTTTTCGCTCTTTCTTTTCACTGAGAAACTTTCCTGTACTTGGCATTTTCATCTATTTTATCCTCACAGAAAAAAATCGATCGAAATACACGACCGAATTCTTCTTTTATAAATATCTGCCTTTTTTAGAACATACTTTTATCGTCTCCTCTTTTCTTATTTTCCACTTTAATTTTTTATTTCTGAAGAAATTTTTGAAAACTTTTATTCGATTACTATTTCGCATTATTATACTATTAAAATTCTGTTGTTGATAAGAAGAATATGCAACCATTTCACACAACGTTATAGTATATAATTCCAAGATATCTTAAAGTTATTACAGTGTGTCATGAAAGATGTAGATAAAGATACGCGTAATAAATGAGGCGCTAAGAATGATTAGACCTAAGCTACTAATAACAAAATTTAGTTGCAAGTTGATGCAATAGAACTTTCAGTAACACTGCTTCAATAATACTGTATGATTTTTAAAAGAAATGGCAATAATGGAATAAAGAGATTGCGATGATGAATAAGTTTGAACTTTCCAAATTTCTATGTTACTAATCTGATTGTAAAAAAAATATTTTTTCTATAATTTATGTGTTTATCACACCTCAGCGTATGCAAATAGAGATTAACCATGTATTTTAAAACGAAATATTTGCGAAAAATATATGATCTGAATTTAATAGAAATTTATCACCAAAAGTGACAAAACAATTATATATGATGGGACTTCGAATTACATTGTATGAAGTGTTCCGTTTTGTATTTCAAAGCATTTTTCTGTCTCGTGCATCCACTCAATATAATTGAAATAGCTAAATGAAAAGAATGCAAATGTAAATCCTATATTAAAGCCAGTCGGTAGAAGCATGCTTTGGGAACTTCCATTAAAAAATAATTTTCGCGCACTTTTTTATCAAATTCAAACATACTTAAAAACATAAGAGTGGCATGTTTACAATAAAAGACATCGCGATACAAAGTATTCCATTTTTTGCAAAAACTTTTCTTTATTTAATAACTAAGGTTACAGAATATAAAAGAGACTGTAAATATAAAAATAATTACAGTTTAAAAGAAAAATTTCATGCAATTTTTTATGTACACTTAAATTGTTTATGCAGTATTTATTACTTGTGTTCTTTTATTGTACGAAATATATACGGAATGTATTTTGATTAAAACAACATAATGCTTCATACTTGACCACACGATGTTACAAAATCCGTTATAATCCATATTAACATGTTATTATTCTTTTCTAGTATGCGAAAAATGGCTCGTCAATTAAATTACACAATGTGGGTTTTGAAACTTCTGGTGTTTATTCCTGTGAAGTCACTATGGAAACTCCCATTTACACTTCGGTGTCTGATCCCGTAGAGATAAAAGTGATACGTAAGTGATATTGTCGACTTTACAAGAATATAGAAATATATAACTCCTTATTAATTAATAAATAGCATCAATCGTTTTATCATATTGAATCAGGAGACGCGGTAGTGTCTCTGGCCATGTTCAAAAACTGAAAGACACTACAAGTCTCTTATCTCGAGCCACCAAAGTCCATTTTTCGTAGGTGCATAACTACTAAAATATAAAAAATTTTGAATTTTGAAAGGTGGCATCTCCACGAGTAATGAGCCAAAAAAATTGGTCAAAGCCGTTTTGGAGATACAAGCGGTCAAAGTGATGATTTTAATGAAAAATTAAGAAACGTCTCTTCCTCCTTCTTCCTCTTCTTCTTCTCTATCCACATTCAAGGCCGTATTAAAACTTCCTAACATCCCCTCTCACCTTTCACTCACACCTTTACCATCTTCGATTTACCGCACCTCCCCTATCCCTCCCCCCTCCACTCATCCCCACCACCTCCTCTTTCGCCGTATTTCACTCTCTTTCGTTATATAAAATATTTTTAAATTATTTTTTTATATATTTGTAATATATTTATACTCTAAAAAGTAAGTGATATCCGAAAAAAATCATATAAAAATGAAAAGTTAAAGCCATGTTCAAAAAAGGATACTCAAAAATTTAAACCTTTTTATCTAATAATAATATATTACCACGAAAAGTAACTGATATATTATTATTAGATATAAAGGTTTAAATTTTTTAGTATCTTTTTTTAAACATGGCTTGACCTGTTCATTTTTACGATATGATTTTTTTCGGTACATATTAGATATACAAAAGTTTCGACTCCGATCTCATCATTCTCAATGTTTATTATATTTAAAATTTTGAATACATACATTCGGTTTTTTTTCTTTATAGTATATATTAATATGTGGAGCAAATGCGGAAGAATTGAAAGTAACGCATACAATTGTTACAGTAGTACTACTTTATATTATTTTATATTAATTTATTCCTTTTTACTTGTGACATTCGTTTTTTCGTTGATTTATTATAAATGTTAACATTGAGAATGACTCAATCGTAGCCAAAACGTTTGTATAATTGACACAGATTTTTAAATACCATCTCTGTGCATCTCCAATATATTTTTAATAATTTTTTTTAGTGCCACAAATGGAACAGCCGACAATTACATTTAAGAAAAGTGTCTTTACAATGGGTGAAATCCTGGAGGCAAACTGTACAACCGCGCCTGCATATCCAGTTCCGCACATAACATGGCTCATAAATGACGAAGAGGTAAAGGACCATCCAATTATGATCCAAGGAACGTTTTAAAGCTTGAAATCTTTTTTTTAGATCGCAAGTTTAGATAATAATATAATCGATTTTTTATGGAGCTACATGGATATACAAATGGAAATTTGTAGAATCTTAAAATTATTATAAATTTTACAAAGTACTTTAATTTGCTCAGGGAAGATGGAGTAGCTACTTGGTAGGTAATCGTTAAAAAACGAATAAAAAGATCTAAAATCTCAATTTTCCCTTGAAAATGCACATATTATGTATACATAAGTATACGCTGTATATGTAACATATAAAGAATCATAAATCCAATCTCCACACAATACGCGACGGATCTGCAGCGACAGAATCAAGCAAACTTTGTTTTCCCTAAAGTAGTTATTTCGAACACAAAGAACATAAATTACGTTAAGAGATTATAGTATCCTTAACATCTCTCAGAGTTATATCAAGTTGAATAATATGTGTCAATCGTTTCATTTTTAGCACCTTATAAGCGAAGTTTACATATAAAAAGTTTTTTTATATCGCAAAAATGATACGTACACCTTAAAGAGAAAGTTTAAACCTTTCTATACGTTTTTGAAGATTACCGAGTACTATTCTGTTCAACTTCTGCAAGCAATCAAATAAAAAAACAAACGTTTTTCGCTTCTATATTGAATAACTCGGTGAAAAAAATTGTAATGCTTAATAAATACACAAATTAAAAATAAAGACTTACTCTTTCGAAGATTATAAATTGTTTTCATGTGCAACTTGTTTCAGTGCGGGTCATATCTGCATCCGATGCTGAAACACAGAATCAACATATTTTATTATATATATTGTTGCTAATTACAAAATTTTTAATTTAATGATATAAATACTAAAGTTAATATTAATTCACGCTATAAAACTTTGTAAAGTTAGTAAAAATTTTGAAATTGATGTTTCCTTATATCCGTGCAGTTTCATAAAAAATCTATCATGTCGTTGTAAACTACTAATTTAAAAAGTAAAGAATTCAGCAAGATTTTTGAAATTTTTAGATCATCTTATTATGATCAGTTTTGGCAAAGTTATATTTCTTTGAAAATTACTTATATTTTAAGGATATAATTTTGTATTCTTTTAAATATATACTTTCGTATGCAAAATATCATACTTTTATAATTTATTCGCATATTATGCATGAATAAATATCTTTAGAAATATATATTTTTGCTCGCGCACGCTCATGGGATTGTAATTTTCTGATTTTAGGCCGATATTGGTTCAGTTATTCATCTTCCGCATACTTCCTTAGTAAATACTAAGTCAATGTATGCTACAGCAGAATTAAAAGTTAAATTGACTCCATCCATGCTTGGAAGAAAATTAAATTACTTAAATCTACGTTGTCAAGCAACAATCCCAGCATATTCATCCCAACGACGTTATGCTGATATAAGAGAAATAGCTATATCGGGTAAGTTTTTTTATAAGATATTAAATTTTTTTCGGATGTTTGTACCTTACAATTTGTTTCAGTGCCAGTTATTTCATCGTCAGCATCCAGCGCTAGAAGAAGATATAAACACCGAATATTGTTATATATATTATTGTTTATGATTATAAGACTCTTAGTTTAATCATATAAATGTTAAAGTTAATATTTAATAATATAAATATCATGTTAGAATAATTTATGTATGAACAATCACAATGTCTTCCAAAATATCGAAAAATACACGGGGGCAGCGGTATTACAAATTTTATAAACTTATAAAACGCAGCTTCTTCGTGCGTTACTATTTTCGATATTACTTATTGTGATACTCGAGTCAGAGTTTGATCAATAATATCTAGGAATGTAAAATTACTGTCAAATTCAATTTTACAATTACTTACGGTAAAATTACAGTAAAATGGTAATTTATTGGTCATTTTGATAAATTTTGTTGTTTCTTATAGTTTTATGCATAAATAGACTATATTTTCGTACATATGTATACAAATTAAATTAAAAATTATACAATTATTCAATATTCCTAATAGGAATCGGCTTAAGATTATTCTATATTTTTACTAACAATAAGTATTCTGGCATTTACTAAGTTCTCTCTAGTTCTGTACTACGTACCTATATATAATAGTTTCTTAATTACTATTATATCAATATGTAATATCAAAATGAACATTTAAATTAAATTAAGTGTTTTTAAACTTTTTAACTTAATAAATAATAAATATAATAATTATAGTAAAATTTGATCATTTTCATCTCTAATAAATCTTTTGCTATTACACACACACACACACACACACACACACACACACACACACACACACACACACACACACACACACACACACACACACACACACACACACACACACACACACACATACATATAATTACTAAACAATAAAAGATAATTTTTTTTGCTCTGAATTTACAATTAATGTACAATCAGAACTTATGATTATACTTATATCTCCTCTCGTAATTTTCAAGAGATAGTGTATTACATCGATCTCATTGAGGTCGATCAAAAGACTGCGAGCGAACTGATTCGATCAAGCTCTGACTTAACCATCTGTAGAAATAGCGATTATGGCCGTGCTTCTGGCCAAACTTTCTGGAATTTGGGCGCGTCGATACGACCGATTTAAAATTCTTGATGCTATCACCAAATAAATTCTGGGATTATCTTTTATCTGTTGCACATCTCGCTAAAAAAAAATTATAATACGTTAGAGTCAACGCTAACGATTTTGCGAAGCTTTAGAATACTAACCTAATCTTGATTATTAGAATCTGATTATTATTCTAATGATTAAGATTAAATTAGTATTAGAAAGAGAACGTATCTTAACGTTATGGACCGAGACTTAGGTCATTTAAGCAAAGTTTGAAAGCTTAATAATGATATTTTAATTAAGAAGTGCCTTTTTATACAGACTGTCCCGCGAGACTTCTCCAATCTCGCACAGGAAGATAGATAGGATTGTAATAATACAGAAGTCCTATACTGTTTCTCTCAAAACGCGCTTTCATTAGTACAATTTCAAAAATTAATATCTTTATTAATATTGCAAGAATCGCTAAACAGTATAGGACTTCTGTATTTATTTCAATTCTATCTATCTTCCTGTACAAGATTTGAGAAACCTCGCGGCATACCCTGTATATCCGTATATTAGAAAATTATATAAATTAGCAGAGAAACAAAAGTCGACGGAGCGTGGCACAGAAAATGGAGGATCCCTCTAAGCCTTTACGACGGCTCGCACGTGAGCCATGATACTTTTCGCGGTTTTGGTTCTAATACCGTATTTTTGCCCGATTTCCCTGGTGACCGGTGTTGAAACGATCACGACGTCATGGGAGTCTGCGACCAATAAGCCGGCGGTTCGCATCGTCGGCGGGGAAATCACCAGCATCAAGAATTATCCATTCATCGTATGCGTGCGACGTGCCCATTTTTCTCACGCACACAAGCTCCTTAACCTTTCACCTTTGCGAAGAATATCGGATTGATATACCGTCATCTCACGAATGCGTAGTAATGACGACTCTGACATCAGTGACGCGATAATTAAAAAAATTTTCTAAAAAGTTAATAATAATTGATAAATTTATGCAAAAATCCTGAAAAATTCAGATAGTATAGTATATTTGCTTCCTTGGTGAAAATTATTTATACGATCCTTTATATAATTTTTCAGAATTTCTATGTATATATATATATATATATATATATATGTATAGATATATATATTCTGAAAAATTATATGAAGGATCGTATAAACAATTTTCATCAAGGAACCAAGAGAAATTTACTCGTGAAATTGTGATACAAACGGTCTCGAATACGCTTGGCATTTGTTCGAGCTAGGGCGTAAGGGTTAAGGTGGCAACCGACTCGACTTGGACTCGGCGAATCCGAATTTTTCAAAGTCAATTCCTCTTAGGTCTCGGTGCAGCGCCGACTTTATAGCCATTCGTGCGGAGGCACTTATGTTGCCTGTAGGTTTGTCCTGTCGGCCGCCCATTGTATGGTCAAGTGCGTGTCATAAGACTGCGTTTCGCATTGTGAGCTATATCTGTCGCGGAGGGTGGTATAGTCAGTCTCTCTCTCTCTCTCTCTCTCTCTCTCTCTCTCTCTCTC